CAAGTAGCTGGGATTACAGGTGCCTGCCACTACACCCCGCTAATTTTTTTGTATTTTTAGTAGAGACGGGGTTTCACTGTATTGGCCAGGCGGGTCTTGAACTCCTGACCTCGTGATCCACCCGCCTCAGCCTCCCAAAGTGCTGGGATTACAAGCATGAGCCACAGCGCCTGGCCTTATATAAAATAATATTAATGAGTCTAGAGATTAAGTTGTTTGAGAATAGTGAAACCTGAGATAGTTTCTTGGAAGAGTTTGTGAATTACTGCAAAACTGGCAAATGACTTCCTTCTACCCCAGTGACCTCATCTATAAAAAGGAATATACCAGCCTGGCCAACATGGTGAAACCCTGTTTCTACTAAAAATACAAAAATTAGCTGGGTGTGGTGGCGTGCACCTGTAATCCCAGCTACTCAGGGAGGCTGAGGCAGAACAATCGCTTGAGCCTGGGGCGATGAGCCGAGATCCCACCCCTGCACTCCAGTCTCGGGGAGAGAGTGAGACCCTGTCTCAAAAAACAAAAAGAAAAAGAATAAAAGGAATATACATGGTCTCATTCTCTTAGTGGTGTTTTGGAAAAACTTAAAAATGAGAACAGATTAATACAGATATACTCTAGTAGACCGCAGACATCCCTGCTTGAGCAATTGCATGGTGGCAATTTCATCAACCATTTTGGACCAGTAACAAGGAATATTTCCAGGTATCCCTGACAACTTACAGGAGCCTATGAGGTCTGAATGTCATCATAGGTGTCTGTGTTACCCAAGGATAGTGCTTCAGTGGGTGACTGAAGCACGTGGACTTGAGTCTGCCACCTGAATTCAGATCCTTGCCTTGTTAACTCTGAGCCCTTTGCCGAATTATCTAATCTCTCAAAGCTTCAGTCCTTCATGAATAAAAAGAAGATAATAATACTAGTTACATCATGGGGCAATGACAAAGAGTAAATAAAATAAGCATATTAAAATTTTAGCAAATTCCTGGTATATAGTAAGCACTTTATTATAGGGAATGATGATCTCAATATTGTTGACTTAGGGTAACAGTAAAAGTAAAAGCAGAGCTAAAATAAGGTTACTGACATGAAACAGATGATCATGTGTTAATAATGTTTAGAGAAAACACCATTGAAAGAATATGAAAGTACACGGATTATAAGTAAAAAAAATCTTACTATCTGATTTCAAAATAGTAACATCTTTTGTTTTCAAAATAGTAACATCTTTTATGTTTTTAAAATAGTAACATCTTTTGTTTTTTGATTTCCTAAGTTGCTGTTTAGAATCTTCAAGACATTAACATATGAGAGATAGTGAAAATAGGGATTTTTTCTTTCCTATTAATATTTTTCCATAAGGAAAAATAAAATAAAAATTTGTGACTATATCAGTATGTTCTTTTGTGGAAGTAATGTGCTGATTCTACATTGCCCTTTTATCCGTGAAAGAGACTAAATGAGGGTAACACCCTCATTGTCAAAACAACTTCTGATTTTTCTTCCACTTCATCTTCTCTTTGGGGTCTGTTACACTCTACTGTTCTCAGTGGAGACACCCATGTTTGACTCATTTGGCAAGATCTCTCTCAGAGAACTTTTCTTCATACTTACCAATGCAAAATGTCATTTTTTTATCCTTTGTATTATAAAAGACAATGCAGTTTTTACCACCTTGGCCTACATACCTTTTACATCTTTTAAAATCACTTAGTTTAACCATTTGCATTGTGAAATCTAACATAAAAACAGACACATGCAAACACATCTGGAAAGGTGCAGAAAACGAACATGTACAGCCCAACGATGTAACACTGAGGAATTCTTATGTATCCATCACCCTGTTCAAGAAAGAACATTGCTCCAGAACCTTTGTGTCCCTCCTGCCAGTGATCACTACCCTCCTGGCTTTTGTGTAGACTGATCACTTCCTTGTTTTTAAAAATCTTATTGCTCTGGGTGCAGTGGCTCACACCTGGAATCCCAGCACTTTGAGAGGCCGAGGTGGATGGATTGCCTGAGCTCACGAGTTTGAGACTAGTTTGAACAACAGGGTGAAACCCCATCTCTACCAAAAAAAGAAAAAAAACAAAAACAAAAACTTAGCCAAGTGTGGTGGTGTGCGCCTGTGGTCCCAGCTACTCAGAAGACTGAGGTGGGAGGATCGCTTGAGCTTGGGAGGCAGAGGTTGTAGTAAGCTGAGATTGCGCCACTGCACTCCAACCTGGGTGACAGAGTGAGACCCTGTCTTAAACAAAACAGCAACCAAAAAAACTTGGCTATTTACCACCTAAGCCTGCATTTCTAAACACTATAATTTAGTGTTGCCCATTTTTTGAACTTCATATAGATTCATGCAGTATCCTTTAATGATTGATGACTTTCACTAAATGTAATATTTTTGAGATTCTAACCTGTTGATATATTAGCAAGAGCTCATTCCTTGTTTTTGATATATTAGCAAGAGCTCATTCCTTTTTTTTTTTTTTTTTTTTTTTTTGAGATGGAGTCTCGCTCTG